CCCAAAAATATAGACCATATTATACTCCGACGGAACTGCCTTTGAGTTGTAAAACTGAGGAGGAAAAGGAGTTTGAGTTGTCACGGGGCTAACTGGAGCTTGAATCATTAATGGAGTATCGGGATACTTAACCATCAACGGGGTTCCTTGTGTTACTGATATGTTCCTCAGATAATAAGGAATTTCCAAGACATCAATCTCTTCTTCTAGAAATGTATTCTCTACCTGTAGGACACCTTCATCCAGTATTTATTGGATAGTCTTATTCAAACTAGAAAACTCTTCAGTTTTAGAGGAACATAGTAAGCAAAAATCATGGAGTTCTTGCAGCACCTCATGCTTTAACAAATGTTCTCTAATAGTCCTTAGTTACATCCTGATATCGTCAACCTTGGTTACCAGAATCTGCTCGCTACCTTCTTCAATAACATTGATCGTTGCCCCTGGGTGAGGAGGAATGGGACTATTCTGAATATTAGGACCAACAGGGTTGAAATTTATGGTCTTTGCATCGAGGAGGTCTTGAAATTTACATTTAAATGCTCTACAATTCTCAATTGTGTGGCCTATGGCTCTAGAATGAAATTCACAATGGTGGTGGACCAAGTTCACGCATTTTAACCAAATGATTGGTAAGTAATTGAGGGAGAAACTGAGCATAGGACATGGGAAGAGGATCAAATCTCCTTTCAGACCCTCTTTGTCTCTATATAACTCTCAGACCTTGAGGTTGCTAATTTTGTTATTGATAATTCAGAGGTGGTGCAAATTGTTGTTGTGGAAGATACTATGGTAAAGGAGTGAAAGGTCATTGTTGGGCCATCCAGGGTGCTGGAGTTGTAGCAGTATACACATGAGTAACATATTGAATAGGAACAGCATCGTGTGTTGGGAAATAAGGAAATCGAACTTGAGGATATGCAGGATCTTTTCCTTGGTTGATGGTGACAGCACTAGTCTCACCCTCTTTCTTCTTGACGAAACTAGAAAACGGCATCCTACCAACGTCAGTATTGTTGTTGGTAGTGTTAGGGATACCTTGGATTGTTCCGGCCTTGATACAAGTTTCAACATGTTCTCCAATAATAACCATATCAGACAAAGAAATTGAGGCACTGTTGAGCATGGGTTGGAGATAAGGACCTCGTAGAGTACCCATGAACAAATCAATCAGTTCACGATCCAAGAGAGGAGGTTGGACCCCTGCAGCCAGTTGATGCCACCTTTGGGCGTACTCTTTAAAAGACTCTTCAGATTTTTGTGTCATCCCTTGAAGCTAGGTGAGGCTAGAAGCAATGGCGGTATTATAATGGTAATGTTTCAAAAAGGTGTCAGCAAGCTCTCCCCAAGTACTGACACGAGTTCTCTCTATTTGCATATACCAGTCCAACGGTGCCCCTTTCAAGATGTCTTGGAAGAAATGCATGAGCAACGCTTCATTTTCAACATAAGCTTTCATCTTGTGACAGTAAGAACGAAGTTGAGTCTCTGGGAAGGAGGTGCCTTTATATTTGTCAAAATCAAGAACCTTGAACTTGGGAGGAATAACTACCCCCGGCACGAGGCACATTATAGCAGTATTAAATCTTGAAGTCTTGATACCGTCTATAGCTTTGAGACGCTCTTCAAGAGCATGGTACATTTTTGCAGTTTCAGCAACTCTCGCAGTGAGATTCGCGTGGGGCTCATCAAGATCAATGACATCGTGCTGGTCATCAACATCATCCCGAGGAATTCCCGTAGGGGTCTCAACATTCACATTATTATTCCTCCATTTGCAGAAGTAGAGGGGGCAGCAGTGCCAAGCTTGGCAACACTTTGAGGGAGCTCTTCTTGACCCTTGATGATAGCATGAAGGGTTTCCATAAGCTGATTTATTCGGGTGCCAATGGTGTCCATATCTTGGCGGAGAGCATTCTGATTTTCTTCAAAGAGATCCATAAGTCTTCTCTGGTTGTTTCTTGTATAATAGGGATGTGGGAAAGTCATCTTTGTTATTCACTGAAGCCTATCAAAAAGGGACCCAAATAAGTTTTTGTTGTGAATAATAGATGCATGATAATATGAATGCATGTTTCATCTTCATTTCCGAGGAAATCCAAAGAATCATATATCCATAAGTATCTTTTAACAATTTTTTTCATTTTTGAATAGCTTAACCAATGAGACTTGTCTTTGGAATTCCTTAGATATGAGATGCATGTACATGATGGTATGATGTCATGGTATGTTATGCATGAGATCTCAGCTCCACATATTATGGATAACCACTATGTATTCCTTTGCATAAACTAAAAGTACAGAATCAAAGGTTTGGCGTCACAAGCATGGAGTCAAGGTAACCACCCATAAGGTATGTACTAGGGGTTTATCACCTGCCAAATAAGGTTCTAGGGGAATCTCATAGTCTACGCTCTTCCTTTGGATATTACCAACGTCCCAATTACTCGGTAATTAATAATATTCACAGGAAAAACTCGTTCGACTGCAGCATCGCGTGACAACTACTTCCGGATTACTCTATCATAGTCTTCGTACTACACCTAAGAAGGCCAAGATGGGTTAAGGGTTCTACGGCCCTCGGCTTCTCTAGCTCTCAGGTCGAAAGCAGCAATGTCTTTCCGATTACTCGGTAAACAAATACTACAGTCAAAGGGGCCTCCATTGAGTGGGGGAACTCATGCCTCCTCCTTCGGGATTACTCCCTCAAATTTAACATGACTATACCGCCCGTCTTAATCCTAAATTTAACCCCAAGTCCAAGTATAAGACTTATCAAATAAAATCACCCACCCCAATATCACAAAAGATACAACATATCTAGGATATGTGATTAGAAAAAGTACAATGCAATATATACAAAGGAAAGCAATAAAGAAATAAATCAATAAAGAAATAAAGCGGTAAAGAGAATAAAGTAAATAAATAAAAACCCAAAGAAACAAACAAACAAAACTAGGAATGACTTTCATAGGTCCCCAGTAGAGTCATCAACTGAAGCGACCAGAAAAAAACACAGCGCCACCACTAAACTTTATCTATCTCGAAGGAAGGGGAAATATCGAGAAAACCCCAAAGAGATGGATAAGATGGTCTTGCAACCAAAAGATAGGGTAATATCGAGAAAACCCCAAAGAGGGGAATGAAATTGTTTTTATTAGTGCGTTCATAAGGGTCTCGCAACCCTCTTCCTACGTATCCCATGAAGGAATCAGAACACCATAGTTCTTCTAGAAAATGTTGGTTTATTGGTGTTTTTAGTGGGCGATGTTAAAACACACATTCTAGTAATAGGCACGGCTTGTATCACGGTAGAACGGAGATAGCATGCCCTTTTGAAGAAATCTTTGATTTATTGAGTATTTTTGTTAATAGAAGAATGAGTTTGAATAATGATTAAGTGTTTTTGGATTTTTTTTGAATAAGTAAAGAAGTTTTAGTTAGAAAGGAAAAGAAAAATTCTATGGGAAACTAAAACCCTAATATTGACATGTAGAATGATGGACCTAATGTTGAGTATTTGAAAGGGAAATTTCTAACCTAATTAGTACACGAATTTTGGCCTAGGGTTGAGTTTAAGGGAATTACCTAATGTAATCATACAATTAAAAGGAAAATTAAATCCTAAAAATTTATCATGCTAAGGTTTAAAGCCTAATATCTAATTATATATTAAAACGATCCAAACAAAGCTTAATCGTATAATGGAATTCTTAAGGGAACATGTTATCATGAATCAACTAATCAAACAAAACAGAAAAACAGAAATACCATGTTAATATTTTTGTGTGTTTTTTATTGAGTAAATAAATGTGACTAAACAAAAATAACTAAAATGGTTAACTAAACTAAAACAAATATTAGAATAAATTCACAAAGAGTTCTAAATTAATTTTAAAGATAAACTAATTAATAGAAATCATCTAATTTACCCAAAAAAATATGGTTATTTAATTAATTTTACAAACCAAAATAAATTGATAAACAACAAAAACTAAGAAAATTAGTGAAAGAAATAAAACTAAACTTAATTAGAACATGGGTGTAAAACAGAAAATAAGGGTGAGTATAGTGAACTACGATGGGCTGGGAGTTGTTTGACCAAGTAAAACCCAATATGGAAACAAACAAAAAAAATAAGCTGTAAAAAAAGAAACCCCATTGCCTTGGACTGGATCAGGCTGGACCTAGATTCGGCCAGCCCAAACAAAACATTAGGGTTGGAAAGCCCTAGTTGAAACCAAACAAACTCCTTTTACAATTAGAACGTACTCCCTTGTATTTCCCTCATGCATCTCCCAAATCGCTTTGCCGAAAAAAAACAATACTCATCGCGCCTAACACAGTGAGACTTCTCCACCCTACGAATTCTTACCTCCATACCCATCGTCTTATCCTTCTCAGTCCACATCTCAACTTATTTTATTCCAATTTCTCCTAAATCCCTCGAGTGAGGAGCGAAACCCTAAACCATTTGAAGTGTAATTAAATGGAAATCATGCAAGATTTCAGCACCAAATCTTAGGGAAGATGCTCAACAGGTTCTATACTACACCTTGATGCCAGGAAATCACGAAATATGAAGTATCATAGAAGGTTCGATATTTACCTTCAACATTTTCGGATATGCGAAGAAACGAATACCAGAGGGGAGACTCTGGCGTTGATTATAGGTACAAACAGTTTTTGTTTCTCTTCTTCTTCTTCTTTTGCTGATTCCTTTACTATTTCAGATGATTTGCGTTATCGTGGTGTAGGAGGGAGCGATTGCCACTGAGAAATAAACTCAGCGCCTGAAAATCTCCAATGGTTAATCTTTTTGTGAGTGCATAGTGAGGTGGAGGGATTTTTGGTGTTTATTTGAACAATGTTGAAGGTCCTCTTTTTTTCTCTGGTTTTTTTTGTTGTGCGTAGTTGGTGTTGATGTCTGAGACTGAAGGATTATAGTGTTGTTGTTTGTGGGTCTGTTGAGCGTGTTTGTGCGGTTTTGAGTGTGGTTGTTAAGGGAGAAAAAAGGTTGTTATGTATGAGTTTGATGGTAATGAAAGGGTGCTAAGCAGGATCATTGAAGAGTGTATAGAGGGTTGGAGGTTTGGGGCTGCAATCCGAATGTGAGAGTAGTTTGTATGGAGATTTAGGGATATGGTGAGATTATTGGTGAAGGGTTTTGAGTGAGTTACAGGAATGCGATTTTGAAGTGGGTTGAGAAGAATGACTTTGAAGTTTAAGGTTAGAATTTTCATGATATTGATGGTCAATGTTCTGTGAATCGTTTCTCTATTCTTCTGTGAAACTTTGAAGCTGTGGCATTTTATATGGCCTGTTAGTGAGGATTAGTATATAATGAGTTGAGCAGGTTTGATGAAAGGTTGTATTGTGAGGTTCATCAGAGGTTTGATATGGAAAGTTGTGTGTGAATTTGGTGGTGTGTAACCGAAGGATTTGTGGTTTCAATGAAACAAAGGTTTGTGTGATAGTTTTAGTTTTCATCAGATTGTTTGTGTCAAAATCAGAGGGGGGTTATATAGTTTGAGATTAAGTGTGTTTTGGGGGGAAACTTGATGAGTTTGAACATAATTTATAGGATAATTTGTTTCTTTCTTGATTTAGTTTTGTGGGATTTGATTTTGTGCAATTCTATGATGCAAGGCAGCATGTCTGGTTTTGTAGGTTTTTGGACTGATATGTACAGGTTATGCAGGGATGGATTTTGATTATTGTGGGAAGCAGTAGCAGGATGTTTTGGACAGGTATTTAGACTAGTTTGAGACAACAGTATTTTGTTTGTTTTTCATTTTTTTGCAGTGTGATGCAGGGCTGCATAGAACTGCTTTGAAATCACGGCATTTGGGTTGTGTTTATAGCAGGATTTTGCAGGTTTTAGGCTCATGTTGTAGGGCTGTCATTTGGTATAGGATGGGCATAGTTTTGGTGCTTTGGACCATAGCTTTAGGGAGAATAGCAAAAAGTGATGGCAGCATGTTTAGGGGCAGCAGCAGGGCTTCCTTTTGGCCTGATTAGATGCTTGTTGTGATTCACAATCCTAGAGCATAACAATCATGGAAGAAAAAGTGTCTTTAGAATGTTCCCTTTGTAATTTGATTGTAAATTTTATTTGAAGTAATCCTTGAAGGTTTATGTTTTGATTGATAATAAATTTCAACTTGTAATCTTGTAAGTGATCTTGCAATTTCTTCCTTTTCTTGAAGCATTCCAACTTGTAATAAGATGATGAGACATGAACAATTTGTGAAGTTCACCATTTTATAAGTTTGATTGTATTCTTGAAGATAATCCTTTGATGAATTAAAAGATGATAACTTGCAATGTTTTACTTGAAAATGATGGTGATACTTAGATGAGACGAATTTAGGTTCATGATAAACTTTGTTGGAAACTTTGAATGACAATCTTCAATCTTGCAAGAAATTCTTTGAATAAATATTGCAAAGCATGAATAGGATTGAATGATACTTGAATTAAGTCAATGGATGACCTCTTTTATAATAAGCTAGGATGGAATGATAATTTTGAATCTTGAAATCCATGAATAAACTAACTTGATCTTGATGAATACTCCTGGATGAAATTGAAAATGATGAGCGGAGTAGTGAGAAATGATATTTTGAAATTTGAGCAAACTTGAATTATAGCTTGAATTTGAATCTTTGAATTATGTAACTTTTTGTGGAGCTTTAACACTTGCATCTTGTTTTCCAAGAGAACCTCATGAATGAATTCTTCTTTCTTTCACGCTTAAAACCTTACTCAAAAGATCTCTTGACTTAACGAATCCTACTTCACTTCTCAACAAAACCTTGATTATAAAATGAGTCTACAATCAACATCTCTTGTATCATGCGTCAAACTTTTGCAACTCGAACCATAACCTTTACTTTGATGAAATCCTCTTTATAAAACAAAACCTTAAAAGGATATCCTTGTGAAAAGATAAATGAGGCTTGAAGCAATAAAGGATAAATCTCTTTGAAACAAAACCCTAATCTCATGATTAACAATAGCGAAACAAACCCTAAATCAGGATCTTGATTGAAACCATTGATGTACCATTGAGAACATATAAGTGATAACCCTATCATCTGTATTGATGGACTTCAATCAACCCATACATGAAGGACGTAAAAGCCTAATCCACCTGAGTTGCACACTGAATGAAGAAAACAATTTGATGATCCTCAGTAAAGAGAGTGCTTGTAATGATGGAGAGACAAAACCTTAGACATCGAGGAAATGATGCTCAAGATAGTCACCGTATCAAAATCCTAATTCACAAGTCCACATGTCAAGAGAAATACCAGATGATTCTACCTTTATTTTAACTAAGGGAATCTTAAACCAATGGAAACCCTAATTGGCACAACCTCATATTCTGAACCCATGCCTTAGGAATGTATGATATGTGAATAATCTAGTGGAAATGATGTGAATGAAATGAGAAGCGTAAACCAGAGAAAAGTAAAATAGGTAGGACAAATTTTGGGTATGCTAACAGATATTCAAATTGGTTCATGTGGAGTACCACACATGTTTAGGTGATAACACCTTCCCTTTGCATAACCAACACATGTACCTAGATCTTTGTTTTATTAGTTTTCTTTAAAACTTATGTGGTTTTTATTCATTCTTTTCCCATTCCTTAGGAAAACATAAAGTGTGGTGCCGACTCTTGCTTTAAGAGTTAAGTTAATAAATAGCTTAATCTCAATTTTTTATGGCTAGAGAAATTTGGTGACTATCCTGGGGAGTAATCCTAAAGCGGGTTGAGCATATCTTTGTCTATTTGTGTTTGTACTATTATTTTTGGTGTTTTCTTGTTTGTCTAGACTTTCTGGTTTTCAGGATTCTTGGTGATCTCTTGGAAGTCCTATACGCAGACTTGGGAAAACTTAAGATAGGATGGGTGGTATAGTCACTTAAATTTATATGGAGAAAGTCCTTAGTAAGTTGATTTGATATCTGGCACTTAGTAGAGGCCCCCTTGAGGTAGCATATGTTAAACAGGTCAATTGTGAAAACATTGTTACTTTCGACCTGGGAGCCTTTAAAGTTCAGTACCGTAGAACCCATTAACATATCTTGGCCTTTTAGGATGTAGTATGGTGGTTATTCATGTGTTGATCTGATATAGTCGTCACACGATACTACACTCAGACAAGTTTCTCTTAAATATATCCAAAAGAGGATCGACGACTCTGAGAACTTTTTAGAACCTTGTTCTACAGGTGTGAAATTCTGGAACTTGCAATACAAATGTCAAGACTAATGTCTCAACATAAAACACAATGTCAGGACAGATGTTAAAACATTATTTGCTGATAGAAACATTTACCAAAACAGAAACAATGAAAAACTAAATTGTAGAATGTAAAAGAACATAATCAATTATTAACCCAGTTCGATGAAACATGAAATGTCACCTACTGTGGGGGCTACTAAGCCATGAAGGAAATCCACTATAACAGTATTAGTTCAAAGCCTTAACATCCCAGTTTACAACTTCTCTCCTAATCACTACCCTATACAATTTCTACCTAGGAACCTCCTAAATATGAGAACTCTCTCTCACTTCCAATCACCTCAATGATACTTACAATCATAACCCGTGACTACAACAGAAGAACCAAATAGAAGATTACACTTCTAATAAAAAATATTTAGTTTTGTTTAAAAGCTTAACTAAAAATAATACTCAACTATTTGCTTAAAAGCTCATGAGTGAGAACAATTAGTGTGCCTTAATGTATCAAAAAATACATGAGTGACATACAAAGAGCATGAACACAACAAAGAACTTAAAAGCCTTCTAAAACCCTAAACCCTTATGTTGCAACCACGGTTTCTTCAATGTGAATGCTTTCTATTTTAGGTTTAGCAAGTCATTATTTATAGACTCTTGCAGAATAGGTTTTGGACCCTTCAATAAAATCCAATCTTCTATTTTAAATCAGCTGCAAGATCTTTACACAAAAATAGGAACCAATCTTTCAAGTTTCCTAAAAAGTATCCAAGATCCTTTTCATGTAAACAAATGAAATCTGCAGTTGTTCCTAATAAAATCTTCTTGACTTGCAAAAATTAGTATGATATTGTAGCGATAAAAAATGTAGTAGGGTAAATCGGAGATCGAGCTATTAATTAACTCGAATCAAAAAAGAAAGAGTTGCCACCACGCTTTATTATTTCCAAGGGAAAATGGAAAAGAGCGAAATAAAACCCTTATATATGCAATGTAAAGTAATACTTAAAAAGTAATGAAAATACAATGCATATTTTGAAAGAGATCGAGAGTTCAGGGGTTGGTTATACAATGGGAAGGTATTAGCACCCAACGTATTTGCGGTACTCCGCAGGAACCTTTTGAAATATCTGTTTTTTAAAATTGTTTGTTTGATTAAAATGGTTTGTTTGGTAAAAATGGATGTGGACGAGATTTTGAAGATACGACGACCTAGTGTCCAAGTTTTTACTTAGATGGTGTGAGTTTTAAAAATTGAGTCTTTTAGGAAAATTAACTTAAGTTCAGCAAAATAGTAAAACAAAAATGAATGAAGGGATTCACATAATCGTATAAGATGTATTTGATGACATGAAGTCAACAAAGTTAAAACATTTCCCTTGAAATTGTGACAGACGAAAGATGTAAAGATTAAACGATTTATAAGCATGTATTTTTAAACAATTAAGTAAATAACAAAAATTAAATAAAGACTAAATTATAATAGCATGTGTTTGTAAACAATTAAATAAATAACAAAAAAAATAAAAGATTAATATAATGTTAACAAAATTTAAATAAAAGATAACATGTATTTGAGTAAAAAAATTAAGTAAAAGATTAATTTAATAAAAATCATGTTTTTGTATTTTTTATCATATATTTAACAAAATAGGGAGGTAAGACTAAACGAACTAAAAAAACGAATCAAATGCGTCAGCAAGAGTTGAACTCGGGTCTCCTAAGGTTATAGGATACAGGCTTTGCCACTAGGCTAGTCCATTTATTTGTTATAACTATGTTTCTATTAAAATAAAAAAGGCAATATCAATAACGAATTAGGCCAGCAGGCCCAGTGGGGCTGACCCGGTTTAGAGGAAAGAAACAAGGAAGGTTTCGAAAACCCTAATAATAAAGGGCGTTGTTGGTTGTTGTGCTCATTGGTAAGGAAAACGATTTAATATTATATCCATTAGAATTCAACTAAAAGGAACATTAAAACGGTAAAAAGGGAAGAAAGAAATAACTCTCTATGTCCCTCACGTACAATCACCATTACCAACGACTCTTCTCTCTCTTTTACTAAGACTCCATCATCATCTCTTATGTTCCTCTCCAAATGCTTCCTAATTGAAATAGCCTTCTTGATCAAATTGTACAAATTCTCTAGAATTTCATATGCAATCCTTCCAGTGATACTCCTAACTTGAGAAATTCCATGAGAATCACGAAGAATGACACCAATCTGAGAAGGAGTCAAACCCTTTTTTTGCAAACTTACAAATAGTATCTTCCACATCTTGGGTGGTGATCTTTAACCAGCTTGGTGTTGTCCTCTTGTATGGTAAAGCAGAAGATGAAATACCCTTACCTCAACTGTGCATACGCCCCATGGTTGATGAAAGCTTAAACGGTTGCCGGTGATTGAGACGAAGGAGATTAGCTAAAGTTGGACGGCATTGTAGAGTTTGTTGGTGTTAACACCGTTGATTTCGGTGATTGCTAAGTAGTAGTAGGATGAGAAATAATTGGATATTTTGTTGAAGAGTTTGATTTACTGCATTTTTTAGTTTTTTCGATCTGGCTTCTTTTTTAGTGAAGTATTTTTTGGTTGATATTTCTGCAGGTGAGTTGAAGGTTGAAGAAACTAAAGATTACAGTTATGCAGAGAAATCTGAAGGTATATTTTTATCCTTGTGAATTTATGTTATTACTGTTATTATGAATTTTAAACATGTTTAAATGTCCACATATTGCAGCAACTAAAAATACAGCAAAAAAATATGTTAAAGCAAATATTCGCATGGCATAAAAATTATGCAAAAGAAGATTCAATTTGATGGATATATGATAAAATTATGCAGAAGTAAATAGTGAAAAAGAAATACCTGTCAGAGTCTCTCTGATGGAGCTTCAAAAATAGTAAGTTCTCCTTCCCTCTCTTGTTGATGCTCAAACTTTTGTAGCTCTAGTTCTTGCTGTGATGCTTGAACAAAAAGGCTCTTTTTTCTGTTTCTTTTCTCTTGCTGAGTTTTTTCTTCTCCTTGAATTTTTTTTGTGTGTTTCCTCTCCTCTGATTTTTCTTGTGTATCTTTTTATGTCCATGAAGAGGGCTTTTATAGAGAAGTAACAAGCCATTTAGGGGGGAAAACAATA